AGAGCAGAGTAAAAAAAAAATATTAAGGCCAAGTTGTGTGTGATTTCTCACACCTGCAATACCTGCATACAGGGGACAAGGCAGAAGACAGCAACAAGTGCCAGCCAGCCTGGTCTACAGAGCGAGTTCCATGTTAGCCAAGGCTATACGAGGAGAGCCTGCCTGTCTTAGAGCCTGGATTGCTATGATGACACACTGTGACCAAAGCAACTTGGAGAAGAAAGGGCTTATTTGGCTTACACTTCTATATGACTGTTCATCATTGAAGAAAGTCAGGACAGAAACTCAAACAGGGCAAGAACTTGAAGGCCTGCTGATGTGGAGGCCATGGAGGGGTGCTGCCTATTGGCTCCTTCCCCATGGCTTGCCTAGCCTGCTTTCTTATAAAACCCCAGGCCATCAGCCCAGGAATGACACAATCCACAATGGGCTGGGCCTCCCCCATCAAGTAATAATTAAGAAAAAATGCCCTACAGCTGGATCTTATGGAGGCATTTTCTCAGTTGATAACTCCTTTCAGCTAATTCTAGGTTGTACTGAATTAATATAAAACTAGCCAGCACACAGTCTCAATAGATTTCCCCCAAAAGATTAGATTCAGCTTTATGAGACTTAATGACAACAGTAGCTTAAAGATGAGAAGTCTTATTTAAAAGAAATTCTTTTTTAACTGGATTTCCTACAGTGTGACTTATTTCAAGAGAATGACATAATCTATTAGGAGTCTAAACAAACACTGGACAAGGCTCAAGAATGACAGATGCGTTTAGAACAATGTTCTTTGAGGTAATTGAACCAAAACTTCACTATTCCTGGCAAAGTTATTCTATTGCTTAAACACTTGTACGCTTAGCTGTGTTTATCAGAACAAAGTCCACTTTGCAACAAGTGACACAGAAGCCACCTTTTCATTCCCATCCAGTAGTGTTCTCCTCAAACGCTTCCATTTGGTTTTCTAACGCCACTGCCTCAGTTTCTCCTGGACTTGGGTGTGAGTGATAGTCACATCCATCCACTACTCCTCAAAACTACAGGAAAGCCCCATATACTTTTGTTTCTCCTTCTTAAAGGCTGGGGGTATACCGAACACATTCCATCTGGATGCCAAATGATCAAGCATTAAAATCCAAATTCAGCATATCAGTAGATGTCGACATTCAATAAGCCACTGGAATAATGAATAAACATACATTTTAATTTATATTTTCTTTTTGTTTGTTTGGTTTGGTTTTTGAGACAGGGTTTCTCTATGTAGCCCTGGCTGTCCTGGAACTCACTCTGTAGATCAGGCTGGCCTTGAACTCAGAAACTCACCTGTCTATGCCTCCTATGTGCTGGGATTAAAGGCGTGGGCCACCACTGCCTGGCTATAAGCATACATTTTAAAATTTAAACATTTATCAAGATTTCACTATTAGATTTTTTTCAAGAAATTTTGTATGTGTTTGTTTGTGTGTTTGCAGGGGCACATGCACATTGTGTGCACATGCATAAGAGGCCAGGGAACAACACAGGATGTTATTCCCTAGGTGTCATCCACTCTGTCTTTGAGACAAGGTGTCTTGCTGATCTGCGACTGACCAAGTAGGCTATACTGGCTGGCCAGTGTGACTCAGGGGTTCTCCTGCCTCTGTCTCAGCAGGACTAGAATAACAGGCATGCACTACCTAAGATCGCACACTCGGATAGCACACTGGTCTTCACACTTGCACGGCAGGCATTCTGCACACTGAGCTATCTTCCCAGCCCCTATCACTTACTTTTCTAAGAGTTTTAAATGTGTTTATCACATCACATTATCATTTGAGAAAAAAGAATCCTTAAACGTTTGGCTTAAATATATAATACAGGAAGCTCCTTTTTGGGGTGTCGGGGACAGTTCTCTAAGAGTTTCTCTGTGTAATGGCCCTGGCTGTCCTGGAACAAGGCTTGTCCTGCACACCAAACTGGCCTTGAACTCAGAGAAATCCATCTGCCTCTGTCCCCCAAGTGCTGGGATTAAGCACAGGCACCACCACTCCCTGCCTGGGCTTTCAGATCATAAGATAATTTTTAAAGTTTCTAAGTCTAGATAATCTTAAAACATGTAAAATATATGTCATGAGTCTCTACTGTATTCTTTTCGCTAGCACAACTGTTAAAGAAAACCTGTCTAAGCATGGTGGCACATAGCCAGGTTTACAGAAGCAGACATGGCAATCAGCAGGTTGTTACTGGCAATGACCCAATCCAGGTATTTCTCCAGGCCATTCTGTTCCAGGTAGCAGGTGAAATCATGCTTGGCAGACAGGCAGTACACGGATTGCTTTAAGTCAATCACTAGACAAACCAGTAAATCAGTGAGTATCTAATGGTTGGTCTTCTGCCTCATTTTTACTTCAGAGTTGTGACCATTTTATGCCTCTACTGTCCTTCAGTTATCCTAATTGTCAAGTCAGGCATGGTACTGCATACCTTCAATCCCAGCATGCGGGAGGCACAGTCAGGGCATCTCTGTGAGCTTGAGCCTACTTCTCGATTCATAGTGAGTTCCAGGCCAGCCAGGGAGACAGAGTGACACCTTATCTCAATTATAAATATATGAGATATATTATATACACATATATTTATAATATATATTATATATTGTATATTATTTATTATATTATATGTAATATATTATATTATATAAATATGTGTACCTATATATTATGTATTGTGTATTATATATTTTATATATATGGGTATTAATACTATACATTATGTATTTTATATGTATCTAACAGTACATATTCATATTTATATATTATATAATATATAATGTATACCTATTATATTATGTTTATTATACATAATATCTTGTATTATATTAAGTATAATAATAAATATATAATATATTTATATATGTAGATAGAGATTCAGTAGTACTTATTTATTTATAAGTGTTTGCCTGTATGCATGCATACCACAAGCTTGGTGACTGGAGGCTAGAAGAGGATATCCGATTTCCTGGATCTGGAGTTATGGATAGTTGTGAACTGCCATGAGGTGGAATCGCATGCAAATAAGTGCTCTTAACCTCTGAGCCCCCTCTCTCAGCTCCTGCCATAACACTCCCTATAGTGATAGACCATTAGAGCGTGGCTAAATGTCCAATAATGGGTCATAAATCAAACTATGGGGTTTGATAATATAACAGGAGATAGCCATGTGCAGGGTGGTGCACGCCTTTAACCCCAGCACACGGAGTCAGAGGCAGGAGGATCTGAGTTCAGGGCCAGTCTTGTCTACATAGCAAATTTGAAACCCTGTCTAAAAAAAGCAGCACTAGCTACTACAGTATAAATATGGACCCTCTGATATGAACAGATGAGCACTATATAATAGGTCAGATTATAAAAGAGAATACAAAGGATTCTCACTCTGCTTTCAGCTCAGCCAAACTCAGACCCATGTACACTCTCAGTATCTGCCCACCCATGTACTAAACCCTAATAACAGCGGCTAGTGTGGGCTGGCATCAAAGGAGGCAAACATACTGAGGCTTCTGGTGATAAGGGAAAGCAGGTCCACATCCTCAGGTGAGAGAACTCCGAGAACTTTCAGGGCACTCCCTGTCAGTCAGAATTATGTAGTGTAACTCTGAGGCCAAGAAAGTTACCAGACAGGAAACCAACCTCTTTGTCACACAGACTCTTGTAAGTACAGAGAAATACATGACACACATAATAGAAAATAGGAACAAAACTTACTGCAGTGGATAATCGAGAAGCTAATGTCATTTCCAAGTTCCCTTTAAGACCAAGAAGTGCGGGGACCAAAATGAAGACTTCTGTCACATTTTTGAACACCTCCCAGTGCTGTAAAACAGAATGGTTTCCCTTAGCACAGGACATTTCTAAAGACTCGGGGATTCATCCCAACCTTGCTTTCTCTTGTTGTTGTCACTGCTATGGAGATAGTATATCTCACCATGTGTCCTTGGGTGGCCTGAAAGTCACTGTGTAGACTAGGCTAGTCTCAAACACAGAGACCTAACTGCTTTGGCCTCCTGAGTGCCTAGGACTAAAGGCTTGGGACAGCACCCTGGATGCTTCACGGTTTTAAAGGACAGCACAGGTTATCTCATCATCGAACACGTTCAGGGATCACCACACCCTCCTGAGATCAGGATCTGACGACTTTAGACAATTCCGTTGGCATTGGTTCAACATCTGACATCACTACACCCCACTCTACAGCTAACACCAATAGCTACAACTAAGCCTGACATCCTGTCACTCCTCAGACTCACTCTCTCACATCTGTTTTTGTTGTTGCGGTTTGTTTGTTTGTTTTTGTTTGTTTGTTTGGCAGTCCTCAAGATGAAGTCCACAGCCTATCACATGTGGGGCAAACACTCTACCACTGAGCTGTATACCAGCCTTTGAGTTTTTAAGACAGCTCGGGCTGGCTATTAACTCACCACCATAGCCTAGGCCAGCCTTAAACTTGTGAGCCTCCTGCCTCTGCATCCCAAATGCAGGATGTCAGGCATGCAGCACAATGCTGTAACTTTACCATTTCATGATGGCAGAGTCCATGTTGTTAACGGTTAAGAACTCAGCTGTGGGACGGACTTCATCATCTGGACTGGAGTCTGGGTTCCAGCACTAGTTACAGCAGTCTCATAATTGATTAATTAATAAAAAATGGACAGTCAAGCATGGTGACACATGCATAATCCCAAAACGGAGAAGACAGAGGCAGTCCAGGGACCTAGAGCTTCAATAGTTGCCAGCCAAGTTGGTGAGTTTCAGGTGGAAGAGAGACCCTGCCTCATAAACACAATGAAAACAACCAAGGAAGATACTCAAGGTTGGCACACACACACACACACACACACACACACACACACTTGCACATACAGTGAAACTAAAGATAAAATCTCACCTGCACTATGTCCAAAACCATGCCAGCAGAAACCGTTCCAAACCCAGCCAGCAAGAATGGCACCAGTATCTGCAGAGCCATGACCCCACTGGACTCCTTTGGGAGCCTCTGGCTTGTTTCCACAATAACATCATCGCCCTCACTGGACAGATCTTCATCCTGTAACATGGCGGTGGTTTCCGAAGCCTCTCTTCCATCACAGTAGTTATAGCCGGCATAGTCGTCGTACTTGGGGCTGCAGCTGGCTGGAGCATGCCCACCGCTGCTGTGGAAGCCCTGCTCTGAGAACTCATGGTAGTCCAGATGTGGGTCTGATCGCTTGCTGAAGGTCTGTGCTGCACCTGACAGCCCATCCTGCCAAATGCTGTTCACTTTTTTATGCCTGTCTTCCTGATTTTTCTGGTAAATGACTGGCACCATGCTTAAAAGTAAGTTTAAAAACTTGTCAGATTGAATTGTATTTAAATTTAAAGTCCAATCTACAAAACCCCCTCCACTCTCTGGACTGGCACTTGTCTTGTAAGTGACAGGTCTTCCTTTACTGTGGGTCATATTGTCATCACAAAAAGCCCTGTATCCTTCAGACTCGAGCTTCCTGAAGCATAGAGGAACCAAAGCCACAGAAACGCCTGCTCAAATTAAGCCATTGACTGCTCTGTAGAAAATGTTTCCACCAGTAAAAAAATTCAGAAGTTTAAGAGAGGAATTCAATCTGCAAAGAAAAAGATAAAATGTAAAACTTAGATGAATTATACTTAGACTGATTTTCATACAAATATGGGAGTGATACTATATTCTATGAGTTGGATGCAGATCTGTTCTGTGACATAAAAGTAAGGGGTTTTTGTTTTGTTTTATAAAATACAGTACAGAAGCCAGTTGTGGATGTGCGTGACTTTAATCTCAGTACTTGGGAAGCAGAGGCAGGCAGATCACTGTGAGTTTGAAGCCAGCCTGGTCTATGTAGGGAGTTCCAAGCTAGCTAGAACTACACAGATCCTGCATCAAAAACAAAACAAACAAAAAATTTAAGAATGCTTTATAATCTACCTTGAATAAGAGTGCTTTTACTTTTATATAATTCATGTAACTGAAGCCCACCCATATGAGGTCTCTGACTGCCTCTCAAGATACAGTCATGAAATAAAGTAACAGCATTTGCTGGACACGGCAGTACCCTCCTGTGATATAAGCACTAAGGATACTGAGGTAAGAGGATTGCCCAAAGATAGAGGCCAGCCTGGGCTACATAGTGAGACCTTCTTTCAAACAAAACCACAAAGAGGAGGAGAAGAAGGAGGAAGAAGAGGAAGAAGAGAAGGAGGGGGAAGAGATGCCATGGCACCTACCACTACAGAGGACTGAAATTGAACATTGTGCTTGTTCCAGAGTTTTGGGACCAAAAAATTTAAATTGTCAATATAAAAGACACAATATACCATTATACTGTGTAAATATTAAATAATAAGCTATATTCCTTTATCTATAAGTTACTGCATAATAATTTCATCAGAATTCAAAGAGACAAAGATGACATTCACCATAAAAACATTTCATTGGTATCCTAAATACAGTATAAGACATTTATTCTACAGATAAATTTAGGTTAGCATCATCTAACATTCTCACATACATAAAAAATATCATTAAATTAACTTAAAAAATATATCCCTCTGATTATTTAGGAAATAACTCAAAAGAATGATTATAAATACTCAGGCCTCCATTTTGTAAGCCAACCAGAACAAAGTCTGGAATGCCCTCAAGTCTGCTGTGGTCTACAGCCTTCAAGTAGGTCTCTGACTAGCTGGCTAGTGACTGGAGTCTCAGAGGCCAGAAAGAACAGACACAGATAGATACTGGAGCTAGTCACCAAGTGGCACTGAGCTGCAAGGCCACAGACACCTGGGCAGGCAGCACCCAACTGCACAGTGACTTCATGGCCACACCTATCACAATGGGGCTAGAAGCTTCAGATGCTTCTCAGGAACATCTAAGCCCACTTCCATGAGAATCAAGGCAGCACTGAATTCATAGAGGACACATGGCCCCACTCCCCACCATACTGCTGACTTTAATGAAGACGCTCTGAGTCTTCAATCCTGGGACAGGAAGACTGACCACAACATATGACCAGAGGAGAAAGGGATGAGGGTTGGTAAGGCAAGCAGGTACTAAGGCTGCATTTCATTATTCCCTCTTTACTTATGGGAGAAACCTGGTAACTCATGAGACAACTCTTTCAGCATTGGCTCAAAGACCCCAGGTCTCCTGATTCAGAACATGATGTACGTATGGGTCCTATATCCTTTCTATATCCTATATCCTTCACCACAGGGTTATGGTACCGACTTCCTATGGAGCTGCTCCAGGAATCTACTGACTAGATTAAGTACCACAGTTGGACCTCCATGTTCCAGGATTGTTACACACTTCCAAATTCAGCCAATCATAGATGGAAAACATTTGGGGGGGGGATGTTATAAGGCCTGATGATATAGCTCATCAGAATGATTTTTACTTAAACATGCACTATGGCCTAGGTCTGAGGCCCAACACCACAGAAACTGGACATGGTGGTACAAGATGCAATCCCAGCACTAGGAGGTAGAGGCAGGAGAACTAAAAGCACAGACACATCTTCAGATGTACTGAGTTTGAGGCCAGCCTGGGCTACATGAGACCCCATCACAATGGTGGAAAAACAAGTGTCTGTACTGAATCTGTACTACGGGTTGCTCTTGCCCTCGGTCACTGAACAATACAGTAGACATACAATTTATGAACTCTAGTGGCTTGAATGAGGTTGGCCCCCAATCTGCGGATGCTTAGTCCCCAGTTGATGAGCTGTCAGGGAAAGACTAGGACTGGCCTCGTTGGAGGAGGCGTGTCACTGGAGAAGGGCTTTGAGGTTTCCAAAGTCCCCATCAGGGCCAGTGTGTCTCTTTCCCTGTGCCTGCTTGCTGATCAGCTACGTATCCAGCACCATGCCTGCCTGTGTGCTTCCACACTCCCTACTCTGATGATAAGGGACGTGTCCTCTGAAACTGTAAGCAAGCCCACCACTAAATGCTTATTTTGTAAGAGCTGCTGTGGTCATGGTGTCAGTCTGCAGCAATAGAATGGTGATTTAAGATGAGCCATTCCTATTATTTCAAGTATTCTAAGCAGTTTGAGAGCCTTTCTGTCAGCTTCTGTGGCACTGAGGACTGAACACACTGTTTCATGTTTGTTGTGTAAGCAGTCCACCTCTGAGACATCACCCCAACTGTTTCCACTTTTTTATGTTGAGACAGAGTCTTACCGAGTTGCCAAGACAGATCTCAAATTTGTAATCCTCCTGCCTCACTGTCCAGAGTAGTTGGGATCATAGGCCTGCACAACCAGACACAGATCTAAATTAGTGAGAGAAGCTGGGTTGTGGTGGTGTACACCTACCTTTAACCCCAACACTCTTGGGGCAGAGACCATCAGATCTCCTTGACTTCAAAGCAAGCCAGGTCTACATAGTAAGGAAAGGAGTGGGGAAGAGGATATAAATCAGAAGCTGCACTTTCCCTAATATCCCTGGTGATTTGCTTACACCATCAAGTATGAGAAGCACTTTCTAACACATTCGATAATCTAGTCTGTCCTCATGAGACCAAATGTGAATACGGATTTGTAAGTAAACAGTGTGAATACACACTCCTCCTAGTGGGGGAGTGGGAACAGTGGGGGACAACCTGGAACAATCTACTAAAAAAGAAGCAGCACACACCCTACAAGCTAAGAACTGCACTGTAAGCACATACCCTGAAGAAACTCAGTGCTTTACACAGAGACAGACAGAGACAGACACAGAGACAGAGACAGGAACACATTGGGATGGTTCCATGAGAAGATTCAATACAAGTTACATGATAGTGGTTTTGTTTGAGCAATGGTATAAAAGTGTAGAGTCCTTCAAGGGTACTGTTTGTTTCTTAAGCTGCATGGTCTGTGCAAGCTTGTACTACTGTTCTGTGACTTGTGCAAACATCTTTAAAAAGTGCTTGGCCCATTAGTTAATAGCACTTGTTGCTCCTGCAAAGAACCCAGGTTCAACTCCAGTTCCAACATGGCTGCTCACAACCACCTATAACTCCAGATCCAGGGGGATCCAACACCCTCTTCTGATCCTCGCACACAAGACCCCATGCACCGTGAACATGTACGTATATACATATAGATAAAACACTTTTAATAATAACTGTAAGTTTTTTAAAAGTGTTCCAGTCTGAGTGGTGCTGTGGTAGATCTTATCATTAGTCCTGACATTGCTCCCTTCCTATGAGAGGAGGATGATCTCTACCTGTTGCCATGGTTTCCTGGACACTGAGGAGGATGACACATCTTCATCTCCGCTGGCATCCGGTCTAGCCATATGATTCATTTTAGCTGATGGAAAGGCAGCCACCACACATACCAGGAGGAG